ACACAAACACGCACACATATACTAAGGCTAATTTTCCCAGAAGCCAGTTAACCTACTGGCATGCCTTAGGACTGTGAGAAGAAACCCACAGCACCCAGAAGAAACCCACATGAACATACAAACTCTACACAGATGGTACCCCAGGAACTGAACTAAGGGCCCCAGTGCTGCAAGGCTTCAGTGCCTCTTTCTTTAAGACCTCAGGAAAATGGCTGACAGGACATGAAGGCAACAGTAGAAACTTTTAGTAACTAAAGATACTAACTAACTCTGCTTGTAGACAGTCTTGAGGATTCTCACAAATTTCGTATTTTGTCAGAGGCCCAAATGAATGCTGTGAGTCCAAAAAAATCAAGCTATGCTATTTCATTTTTGCATTTTACAAAATGTTTTCCATTACCTTTACATCTAAAGGAAATGTACTTAAATTTCTCATTGAATTTATAAACTGTATGAGACTATGACTTTAAATCAAAAGAAATAACATGAATGAAAGATGTCCATTAAAAATTGTATTAATAACCGCAAAAAGCTATATAATTTCTCTTTTGTGGCAAAATAAAAACCTGGCACCACTTCTCCACTACTGAAAAATCACAGATATAAAATGATAAATGTTATAGAGTTAAACATTTCACCAAAGAGCAAGGTTATAAATAACAGACCTGTGAGGAACTATACAATGTTAAACAGTCAGGAAAGTTTTATTAATGCCCTCGTGCTTTCCACACAGATTAAAACATCATGTGTTTAAACACGTGTTTGTAAGTATTCTGTTGCACCAAAATAACTGGGGCGAAAGTTAAGTGTTTATTTATGTGATCTGTTGACTGTTATTTTAAGTTTACTATGATTCTTATACTTATAAATATAAATAGGAATCAATAAACTTTTCCGAACCAGAAACCATGAATGAACAGTGAGGTTCGCGTCCTAAATCAAAGCAAGGAATGCAGCATTCAAATTGGGCAATAAATCAGAACTAAAGTCAGCCAGGATCAATCTAAACAATGGTATTTAACATGGAAAAAACACACTCAAACAGGAATTAGAGGAACACCTCGCCACTAATGACCCAAAGTGTAAAAACACCTTGCATGTGGCAAGGTATACAGGCCCTCACAGACTAAAAAAGGAAGAACATCTGTGCATCTGCCCATGATGCCTCCCTGCCTAATGAGCTCAACACCTTCTATGCTCGGGTAAATCCAGAGCTCTAGCTCTCCTGTGACCCTGTGTTGGATAAATCAATTAGAAAGTGAGTGGATGTTTTGATTTTTGATTGAATATTAGTTATGTGATTTTGACTATAGAGCACATCTATTTCAAAAATACTATGTTAAACTACTCTGAACTGGAGAGCCTCCATTCAGGGTCACAGGAAGCCAGCAGACAATGGACGCAAGTCAGGAGTGACAGGGACCGAGTCCACTTCTGAGATACTATTTAACCTAGACAGCATGTCATTGGACCATAGGAGAAAACTGAATCGCCATTGAAAGCAAAAACTCTAAGGACGCAAGAACTGTTAAACTGCAATGCTAACAAGCAAAACTCAGCAATCACCTTGAAATGGTTGCTCAGTGGAAAGTCTCATTCATCAAATAAAAAACTCATGGAGGCAAACTCCTCTCTGCACTGCACTGATAGTTATTTCCAGTCATGACAGGAAAGCCCAGTGTCACGTTACTTCTGACTAACAGCAACTTAGTAAATTCCAGGCTCGTGGTAACTGTGGGTTTGAGGCAAGTTTCACCACTTGTTTCCTGTAAATGCCTTTGCAATTGTATGAATAGAGTCTTTCAGTCCAAAGATGGTATTTGACCAAAACCCAAATATTTTATTCTGTTATTAAGTATTAGGTAAACAATTGGAATTATTACACCACCTATAAAAGTGGGTGTTTCAGGAAATAATATTTATTTCTATACCAGAAATTCCATTCACTAACACAAAGTACTATTTGACTAATCAATATCGGTGGTTAGTCAGGAAATTTTTACAAGTGATCTCCTCACTTAATAATGCCACAAGCTTTTCCTTGGGGATTCACCTTTTTAACATTAACATTAATGTTAACAGTTATGAAACCAGTGACAATACAAGTCATTATGAAGTCAGTGCCTGTTGTGCTGCAGGCTCCAAGGTTAATCTGAGACAGTGATTTTGCTGTAGATGAAACCTAGTTTAAGGAAGTAAGGAAGGGAATTTAGGTATTGTCCACTAGGGTAATAAATCTGCACAAGAGCCACTCTGCACAAAATGGCACATTGCCTTTGACTTGAAGCAATTAAGTGTTATTTGAATGGGTAGTTTGTTTCAAGTGATCCATCCATACATTCATTTTCTAACCACTACTGCTTATTCAGGGTCAAAGGGGAGCCAGCAAGCAAATCGTACAAGGCAGGATTTGCTCTGGACAGGATGCCAGCCCAATGAAAGGGCAGGCAGACACACACATCCCCTCACCACGGATAATTTTCCCTGAAGCCAATTAACCAACCAGTATGGACTATGGGAGGAAATAGTCCATGTAAACACAGGGCGAACATACACACTCCACACAGATAGCACCCCAGGTCCGTGAACAGAGGAAAGGAGCCCTCAGTGCTGTGAGGCAGCAATGGCAATGCTAACCTCTGCGCCACCATGTCTGGAAGGAACATATGGAGACTTCCCATTCAGCACAAAAGCAATCGAACACATTTGTGATGTATTTAACTTTCATTTATTGCAGGCATCATTGCACCAATACTGAGCAGCTGACAATCACTAATTCATACTGTAACATCAACAACATCAACATCCAGCAAACAGCAGGAAATTAAGACACTCTTGCTGTGAGTTTCGTATCACTTCCTTGTCCCAGCCTTTGTGATGTGTTCTACTATCCCATTGTGAAAAATGATGTGTTTTGAGATGCTGGTACAGTATGCACCCATGTTGAACATAAATGTCTTCTTAAGGAAAGGAAAGTAAATACAGCTATGCTTTTCCCAGCTTTAGTGTCATTTACTCAGATCTTGCAACTTCATTGGTTCCAGGCAAGACAAAGGCAAAAGCTGTCTTCGGGGAAAGTAAGAGAGGCTTCTGAAAGAGTTTTTAAGCACAGATACAGTTTTTTTCCTTGCCAAAAAAACAAAATTGAACAGTGAAACACAAACCAGACGACACAAAAGGAAATGACATGGAAATGCATTTAAAACTCTGATCAGGAGGCATGTCTCTACATAAAGGGTGGTGGGAGTCTGGAACAAGCTACCTGACTGTGTTACTGAAGTACAGTACCCTGATTTCTTTGAAGGAACTGCAGAGGAGATCCTTGTATCAGTTAACTACTAACTACCTAAAGGACTTGGACCAAATGGCCTCCTCTTATTTGTAAGCTTTATTATCTTAACTTTGCATTAAAAGTATTAACTGTGCTTTTAAAAGTGTGTGCACTACAGGGAAGGGGGAAGAGAGAGCAACCCCTGTATATATAGGGGCTAGCTATCAAAACAAAATTTGCATTACACTTCATTCCAGCTCTCACAATACCTTTATGATTGGTATGGTTTATGGTTTCGATTTTTTCATAATGAAAAAGTGATCTTATCTCTTATCTTATCTTAGTATAAGTAACACAGACATTACAGTATAAAAATGTGGCCTGATGCAGGTATAGCATTGTAGCCATAAAGTTTACCTAATTAATCTGTAGCCACACATATATTTAAATATATTTCACGGCATAAACCACACAAAGTCCGATGCCATTCATAACTTGTAGGTTACTTCCTGTAACACTGACACACTTTTGGCAACGTGGAGACGGGCAACTGAAGAGACTTCTCAGAGCACTGAGTAGAGTGGCACTTCTCAGCCAAGGCCTCTTAGCCCAAGCATCGTCACAGTATGATCCTTATTCAGTCTGGCTAGAAACCCTATCCCTGACATTATTTATAGGATTAAAAAACAATGTGGCCTTAAAGGCCAACGTGGAACTTCAATGCTTTCCTTCTCTACAAGGGAACCAGAGGACACAAGTGGAAATTAAAAAAGACTTGCAATATTGTCCTGCACCAGAATATAATTTCCCCTAATTTCAGTACAATAAATGTACTGTAATAATTCATACTACACCACCTTCCAACTGTTGTTCTTTTTTAAAATGATCCTTAAACTCTTTGCCTTTATGGCTTTCATGTTGGCTTTTGATAAATTCTGCTGGAATGCGTCTCTGACCAGAGTGCAGGAGGGGTCCTGTAACCTCCAAAACCCTGCTCTGCCAAAACCGGCCAGATGTGGGAAGACAATAGCTTCCCGTTCTCCTTGACAAAGCGAGAATGGCTGAATTGATCCATGTGGCGAGATAGTAGCTATTACTGAGAACAGCGATAGCCATCTTCAGAGTGCAGGAGCCACAATTTCCTAATAACATCGATTCCAAGTTTAATCAAGGAAATATTGCTCTATTTGATATACATATTGGTCAATAGAGCTCTACTGCTCTATAATACTACATTGAAAACCCTGTAGGGCCACAATCTAAAATTGTCATTTCTTTTGCCTCAACAGCACCCTTAAAAATGAAAAGAAGGCAAAATTGAGAAAATTGTCACAGAACACTTTGAAAATTGAAACACTAAGAGCTTCTGGGTTGTGGATTTAATTCTGCACTGGGGATTTTTCTGTGTGGAGTTTGCATGTTCATGTGTATGTTCTCTTTGTGCTACACTTTCCTCAAACCTAGAATGCAAGATCTAATATACAAGATAAAATAAAATGGGGTCATATTGGATATGTGAGTGGAGTATATCAAAGTGCTTTTGGACATTCATTTGCATGGGTGTGGGTCTTTATTCTAACATCCAGCATAAATCACTGCAGAATTTCTATCGGGAATCTTTTGAGAAAGATACAATTCTTCTGCACAGAACACATCTACAGTACACTGAATAACATTTAAATATATTTTTATTAAATTCATTACAATAAAATTTATTTTCCTCTTCTTCCTCATAATCTCAATTTCAAAATATTTATAAAACCACTCGCTACATATTTACAAAAAAAGCTAAAATACATTAAATAAGTAACATTCTTTACATTTGCTAAAGATTATGGACACACCACAAGTTTTAATCTTGCTAGGGATTATTTTCTGTGTAACTGTTTGGTCAATTTAAGAAAATCTTTGAAAACAATTAATGACATTTTTCTTATAAATGCATGGAACTACACCAAAAAAAGGTGTTAAAGTGTGAGCTGTGCATTTTACGGTACCATGGTGCTCTTCCACAAGTAATGTCCTTCCACACATTCAGAAAATGCCGATATTGTACTTTCTATAAAGGCATCAGGAGGTGACACTCGTTCTAAACCATAATACAACATAAACGGTGGTGTGTGTCTTCATTAGGGTTACAAACAAAAAAGCTGCGAAGCATTTCAAGCTAATCTGCATGGAAGTTCCTGTGGTTTGACACAAGGCCTGTTCCTTGTACCGGTGATCAGACGAGATGCTCTTTTCAAAGTTTCTTGTACTGTCGAAACATAAATACTAACAACACAAAGTCTGAACATTTGTGCTTTCATACAAATGCACATACGGGTACATTTATAGCACACAGTTCTTTGTCTATTAGGATTTCCCCTTGTCACCACAGAGCTAGTAGACAAACAGTTACGGAAGTTATTGGTTTTCTCTCATTTAAAAAAACGATCCATAGATCTCAACTCTTTGGCAGTGACGTAAGCCTTGCTCTGAACCTCGCCTCACTTGCAGCAAGGGAAACAGCCACAGAAGAGCTGTTTGCAAGGGTTCTTTTTCTTGTACCTCATAGCTTTCTTAATCTGGGCAGTAGCTTCCCCGAGGTAGTCCTGAGTGTGGCTCACATTGCTTTCAATGTTGTCCAGCATGCTGCCCTGTTCCTCCACCAGCAGGGCCATTTGTAGGAACAGGTCATGGATGTCCCGGATTCGGCTCTCCAAATCCAGGAGCTCCTTGTGGCGGTTCTCGATCTCATTAAGGGCCGAGCGGGACGTTTTCCCATCGGTCAACAAGTTCTCAGAAAACACGTTCCACTTGCCGGTCTCGATCATTTCCTCGATCTGGTCCCCCGTGACCTCTTTCCCCATGATCTCCACCTGCCTCTGGATGCGGGTCTTGCAGTTCTCCCGTTGGGTCATCTCCGCCTCGTTGTACTCGAACATGGCGTCCCGAAAGCTGTTGGTGAGGGAGATGTACTGGGAGCGCACCATGCGCACCAGGGCAGCGTGGAGGCCATATTTGTTCTCCAGCTGTTTGCTGAGGGCCTCCATACTTTGAAGGCGCTTGTAAATGCCTTCGCCACGGGCCTTTATGTCGCGGGCGATAGCGTTGGAGTCCCGCTTGATGCTGCTGATCCGCCGCACGGAGGTAAGGAATCGCGTGTTCTGCTTGCCCAGCCGCTTGACATCGACCTTCAGAAGGCTGATCTCTTGGCGCATGGCCTGCGCCTCCTTGAAGACGTCCTCCATGGTGCTCTCCTCTTCAAACACCACCACCTGCTGCTCCCCCACATCTTCCGTGAGGCCCTCCTCCGGCTCGGAGGACTTGGACAGCACCTGCAGGTCGCCGAGTCGGTCTCTCATCTTCCCTGTAACACAGAGGCCACTGTGTCAGAACCTACACATTCCTGAATGAGCCTTCGATCGTTTATGCCGTCAATCGTTTGTCCAGCAAGAACTGTGCCTGTAATGGGGCATGGCACAACACATACTGTTTTAAAGAGAAACATGCCAAGCATCTATACTAGAAATAACACACTGAAATTTACAGAAAGATGAAAAATTGCAGGCATGCACTGTACAGTATAAAGACCCAAATGATGAGAATAGTCATCTGTACGCTAACTGGTCCATCTCTATTGCCTGATGTCTTTGAAAATGAACTTCAAAGACAACGTTTTGGGATTATAAATTGGCCTACATTCGCTGGTATCCTGTGTTGTCTTTTTTAACCTCTACATACAGTACAGTATATGCTTGCTGCCTTTTCTTTTTATTTGAAACACTGACTTCCGTTTTAAAAACATAATATCTTAAGACAAATGTTGAACGTAAACTTTCCCTCTTGAAGCCTGGCTAAGAAATTGTGCTGAGGTAAGTAAACAGTGAGAATAAAATAAAGTACCTTGATGCCCAATGCTTACATTCCCACCCATGGCCAAGGGTCATGTTGATCTGTGATTTGACCTTGCGGTTTTAACATCTTGTTGACCATTATTTTAACTTACTCATTATAGTCATAAACCTTCTAAAAGCGCTGTTTCCTACAAGGGGCAAAACTCACAATTTCTTCTTCAGTTGTGCCTGTGCATTGTGTTTATCCACATCCTTTACTTTAATATTTGCTTTGAACTCTTCCTACACGGCTTGTTGTAGAACAAATGAGTTAACCATTCATGTTTTTTCATCTGTAGGTGAACTCTTACCACTCATATTCACCCAAAACTCATAGTTATATCCAAAACTCGATTTGATTTTAGATTATTAATTAATTAATAACTCATTGGCCCCCAAGTCCATTAATAACATTTGGCTGTCCAGCAAGTTTCATACTGTACAATGTTTTAACATCAGAGGACAAGAAATCCCATCTGCAAGTTTCAGCAGGTGGGTTACAAGCTTATGAACAATGTTTATAAGCTTTAAACCATGCGTCTTTATTTCTTGAAGAAATATTCCTTTCTTTCTGAAACCCATCCCAGAATATTTAATTGTTCAGTCTTAATTTATTGGTGCACATCTGCAGTTCCTCAGTTCTGCAAAGTTTTGCTGATTACAGACATTATGAAAGCTCTGTCCCTTTTAACAACCCGGAGAAGGAGCTCTCATGTATGAATCTGCTGCACCTTCAGTGGGTTTAGACTCTTATAACGTGCCCCTCTCCCTTTTTTTTTCCTTAACAGATCCACTGAATAACCGTCTCTTTTGTATTTAACAAGCACACATTTAGTACATCAGTTAGAAAATCCAGACCTGACATGGACAGATTTGATTGAACTCATTACCCCAGTACTTAAACCATTAAATAACATAAATATCGCATAAGATCTTAAAAAATCAAAACATAATAGTTGATCTTTTCCCAGCTGTACTATGAACAATAACACCTGCAACAACACACATGTCCAGTGTCATTGGTACAGTAACCTTATTACTGTACCAATTACTTGTTACTTTACCAATTGTACTGTAATTACTACCAATTACTGTACCACAGTACCAATTGCTGTTATATTTCAGTTTCAATGTTCAAACTCAACCTTTAATTTGTGAAACTTGCCAACAGTGGCAATCATTTTATATACCATTTTACTGCACATCATATACAGTACTTTGATGCTGTTATAGAATATGCTAGTGATATTTTCCTAAATAGTGCAAATGTGCACTGCAATTGAGGCATATGTGGAATTAATTGTAATTAAGGTGTCATCAATTGGATGTGATGCTATTACTGAGGTCTTGACTACCTGCCATTAACTCACATACCCTACATTCAACTAAATCCTACTATACAGTTTGTTTCCACAATGTGGCCTTCCTTAAACTACACCTTAATTCAATTTCTCACTTCTCCACCTGGCATTATACCTGCAGCCCTGTACCTCAAAAGTAGAAGAAGCAGACCTCCACCTACTGTATGTGCAGAGCACTAAAAGATCAATAGTGATCAAAAGCACTATAAAAATGCAAGGGATTACAACTGCTTACAGTAATACTAGGCTAGAAATTGCATTGGTTCATGGTTCAGTTCAAGGGAAAGATCAATGTAACTTATTTTTCCCATTGGCCTTCATACTTAATGACGTTTGTTTCACACAGCTTTTCCAATGGGAAACAGACAATCAGGCCAGTCATGCGTTGATTAATCAGTAGACACAGACTTCAGGGAGACAAAGTACTTTCTTAATTCAGATTAACCTGAAAATCTAAAAACGTACAACTACAAGGACATATGAAATAAGCCTAATATGGAAACATTTAAATTAAGTGACAATTACACAAATAGATCAGTCAAACATCTCGAAACCTCAGCTCACGATTAAAGGATGTTTTGTCTAGCCTAAACAACAAAAGACGTTCTTTGTCAGAACACTTCTTCTGCCCAGCCCTGTTAGAGGGATGCCATATGGTACACAAATGTTTGCACTTAATTAATTTAAGGTACCATCTGACTAGTGTTAGGTCTGTTTAGTAAGAGACTTAAGCTCTTTCAACTGTAAATTTAAACGGTAAAGCTGTAAAGTACTGCACACTATCATTTCAACAGAGCACAGCTTTGCTATGGAAATGGAAAAGCACTATTTGAATACAGAAGCTTTGCATGATGTACACTTACAATGCTTTGAAAAAGTATGCATTCTGTTCTTGCAGTGTCCCAGATTGTGAAATTACAAAATGAAACATACACTTTTAAACTTAATTCTTCACTACCTGAATGATCAAATGGAAGAGTTCTAAGGGAAAGATACACTCCAGTAAATGTCAGTAAACACTAAAGAGAGAACATATGCATAATTGCATAAATATTCAGACCTGTGAACTCAACATTTAGTGGAAGTAACTTTGACAGCACAAAGTTTGTAGCCACAAGTTGCTCAGAATAAGACCCTTCTTTTGGCAGATACTGTATCCTCAAACTCTCACAGGGTGCTTGGAGATTGGTTTCTAATGGACAGCAGCTGTCTTTCCATAGATTGTCTATAAGATTCAAGTCAGGACTTGGATTGTGTCTTTCTAGGACATTTACAGTGGAGTGAAAAAGTGTTTGCCCCCTTCCTGATTTCTTATTTTTCATGTTTGTCACACTGAAATGTTTCAGATCAAACAAATTGAAATATTAGACAAAGATAACACAAGTAAACACAAAATGCCATGTAGGTTTGGGTTTTTTCCCCCTTAATAATAAAAACTAATAAAACATTTAAAAACTGCATTTTGTGTTTACTTGTGTTATCTTTGTCTAATATTTCAATTTGTTTGATGATCTGAAACATTTCAGTGTGACAAACATGCAAAAAAATAAGAAATCAGGAACTCTAGGGTGGACTCTTGGATCATCACCATAGATTTGCACCATCTACGTTCCTATCAGTGCTGACAACTTTCACAGACCCTTCTGATGAGAAGCAGAACTGTAACATAATGCTGCCACTACCACCCTTGACAGCAGAGATGTTGACTAAGATATACACTATTTAAGGTTTGGATCAGATGTAACACTGATCAAAAAGACCAAAAAAGTTTCAATTTTTACTTGCAAAAAAAAACTTCTGCCACATGTCTGCAGCTGCCTTGTTACAAACCCAACGTGGGATTTGAGGTTTTTTTTTCAGCTCCACTCTATCAATGGCTAATCTTTTTAAAATTATTCTAATTCATTTCTGACTCTAATGCAGTTAAGCACAAATGGCCTTGACTGTCTTCACGCCCCATTGATTGAACTGCAAGAGAAACATTTGCATTACTTTGTTGCAGGATAAACAATTTTTAAAATACAACTTTCTGTTATTTAAACAATCAAGACCAACATTTACTAAAAAAAAATAATTGAAAGGGAGTTCCCAAGTTAAGACAATATGATGATCATGCAGGAAGTTATTAGCCAACACTGTACAGAAGTATGTTGGCCACAGCTTCTCCAGGAGCTATATATATAGGGGCGGGGTGGTGGCTCTGTGGCTAAGGATCTGCGCTTGTGGCTAGAAGGTTCAAATCCCGCAGCCGGCAGAGGAATCCTACTCCGTTGGGCTCCTGAGCAAGGCCCTTAACCCCGACTGCTCCAGGGGCGCTGTACAATGGCAGACCCTGCGCTCTGACCCCAGGCTCTCTCCCTGTCTGTGTGTCTCATGGAGAGCAAGCTGGGGTATGCAAAAAGATAATTCCTAATGCAAGAAATTGTAAAGGGTTAATAAAGTAATGTTATTATAACAATATCTTTAACTTCTGGATTGGGAATCTTCATTTTCTTCTGGCACAAATAAGATCAACATCAGCTGTGTAATTGGTTTTACTTAAGATGATGACACTTTCTATTCACCACAAAAAGGTAACAAAAAATGACCAAACATTACATTCTTTCAAAGACTGAGGAACAAACTGAACCGGTTATGTGGCTGTGATCCTTATTATTTATAATGACAAAGCTTTTAAGTCATTGTCAGTACTTATTTGTGCTTCTGAACATGCATATGCTTGCAGTACGATAGGAAGCATACCACAGTTACACCAAGGCACAATACAGCAAAAACGCTTGAGCAAAAGAGTTTATTAAGGTTATTATAAATGTCATTTCCGAACCCATGTTTCAGCATATTTGGTAGCACTGCACAGAGCCCAAATGCTAGCTGATTTCTAGATATACACTTACAGTAGCACCGCAGTTCAGGACAGGAATAACTCCCAGTGTAACCATAATCACTGTAATACCAAATGCAGAAAGAACAATGCAACATCTAATCTATTGAATTTCAATGTGCGTATTATTAATTATCTACAGTATAATGAGTTTTCATTAATTACATATACCATATATATATTTCATTAATTAATATACCATTAATTGTACTAAGCTAGAAATAAACCCAAAAGTAAAGATTTGCTGTCCCCATGAGCAGATGCAGAACTTTACAAAACAAGTGCACCTTTCTGGTTGTTCCCTTTGTGCATGTGAGTTGTTTTTAAGTATTGTCTGTGGAAAGAGTCAAATCAGGTTACGCAACACAATTGACGAAAGGAACTGTTTCTGCAAGTCTTGACAGAAGAATAACTGCCGAATGAATTGACAAGACACAACAGTAAATCTAAGACAAGAATGATGCAGAAGACAATTTTAAGAAAATGTTGCGGCTGGTAATTTATTAAAATCATTCGTGAACTACTAACAACCATAATTGCACAATGGACTAATAAGGCCTTGTTTCAAACATTGTATGCAAGTCCAGCCATGTAATCTCCCATAAAGCAGGATGAAGTAAACTGGCATTCTGGACTGAAGAGCACAAGAGAGAAGCATTCACAGACAATTGATCCAAGGATCTTATCCAGCCATTTCTTGAAAGAACTCAGGGTATCGGTTTTACCAACATGGCTGAGTAGCTTGTTCCAGTCTCCCACAACCATTTGTGTAAAGAAGGGCCTCCTGTTCTCGGTTTTATGGCCCATCTTACTCAAGTAACAGAGAGTGAGAGAAATGCACTCGTCAGGGTTAAAAAGTCAGCTAAGAGTCCCATCAGGGGTAAACTCTCACCTACCTTTAGAAAGTGAAAAGCTTTCTGAATTGGGACGGCTCCAACTGTGTTTCACATTGGTGATGTCATTCGCTAAACCCACTCACTGCTGGCCGCAGCTATAAAGATGCTATTTAAATATATGTAAAAATATAAATATCTTCAGCAACAGTTACAGGACAGTGAACTCATCTTATAAGATTTTGTCCTGTTTTTTTAACAACTAAGCAGTGTCCATTTCAAGGATTTCCTAACATACAGTAATGTCATGACAGAGGGAGTCCTGTGTAAACCTACGTTAGGATGAATTCAACATGACATTGACAATTATCCTGGATTTACTGTACATTGAACAGATTTGCAAAGTATTTCAAAGAAAACTGTAGCACATTTTAGATTAGAAATGTCTAACTCTTTAAGATTGCTATAGAACACATGCTGTTAGGAATCTACATTATTACAGTTCCTGTGCCTTGATGAAAACAAGCTTTTCACACATAAATAGCACAGTTCTTTCACTAATGTGTGCAGGCCTCATTTTGAAGAGGTGTCAAGTACTTAAGAGCATATTAATCGCAATGTTACTGACACATCATTGTCACCTCTCTAACTGGTGCAAGGAGGGACTTCTGTAAAACACTGTATGGTCAATCTTTCCGTGAGATAAAACGTGCTGCAAACCAGATGAACACTTCACATTTGCTGCACATTTCTTCAAGTTTTCTCTTCCTCTGCGGGCACACGATTCAAAGTGCCCTTTAGTCACAACTCAGCTCTGTTAACGCTGTTCCCAGCCTTGCCAATTTGAATTCCCTTGTCACTAGCTAAGAGTGATATCTATGCATGGTCAAGACTTCAACCAGCAATATCAAGAAATGCAAAACACACCTCCCACTATAACCAAGCTTCCCAATGTCTCCTGTGTTTAACTTAAATCTTAAAATTTTAAGATTTTATAGTGTCCAAACATTATATAATGTACAGTACCAACGGATGTATCAACTATCAATCGTTGTGTAAATCTATCAAATGTATCAACTGAAGTATCAACTAGCAATCGTTGCAAACAACACTAATATTCTTGTACTGCCTTCAGAAAGGGGAAGTCCACAAACTATTCATCTCTTTTCAGTAGTTACTTCACAACAATTACAGCTAGGGGTCCTTTTAGAACAGAGACGTTTAAAACTTCAATATCCTGCTTTATCCTGAGTTTTTCGATCTATTTAAAAACGTAAATATCAGAGGGGACTAGCAGCAATCGCTTCATAATGTGATTTTAGAATTATTATTTATATTTAACAAATGTCTTGGCACATCATATAGGACAGCCTTTTGGAAGAGCATCAATATTCAGCTGAGTTTAAAATAAAACCTATCATTTTAAAACGCATTTTCAGATTTGAAAGCATTCTCAACGGTTTCAGCCAAAAACAACGGAACACCTGCTGTGAGGAACACCTTGCAATTAGTTTAAAGGGAAGTGATTGTCGACAGCAATTAATAGACGCTGATTTCCTTCCATATTGAACTACGCAACTCGTCCAAGGCAAATTGCAAGACTTAATTTAAAAGCAGTTTTCAAAAATTACATCATTCAAGTCGCTGTTTAGACAAGAGCACACGATACAGAAAACGAACACCGAAATTCCAAACAGTACTTCTCTGCCCATGTTCACTTACTACCATATTAAAAATAACTGCTGTATCAGAAGCAACGACACTTTAATGTCCTCACAAAAAAACTCTCGCGTTCAACACCCTTATATTTGAAGTGTAGTGTAACGGAACGGAAATAGTCTTTGTCAGATTAACTACACAATATTTCTGGCATCAAGTAACGAGGATTTAATCGGGAATGTTATACATAGTTACAGTGTCCCCTTTACCAATATTGCAAAATTAAAACCTCCTACTTTAGAGTAGAGATGTACTGTATTAACTCCAAAGCAGTTCGTCAGCAACGAATATTGCTATAGCCAAAGAAGAGACAGCCAGCAAATAGAAAGCGATCACTGGCTAACCATTAACCAATATATCTTATGCATATTTCAAAACAAAACATGTTAATTGCTTAAAATGTAAATAAATACGTACCTTATTTCATATCCTGAATAGGATCAATAGAGCTTCCTTAAAACAGGGCAGAGAGAGTTACCGCCGTATCAACATCGTTAGAAGCCTCTACACTGATTCTTAATGACTGTTGCCTGCAGGAACTGCAGCTCAGTGAATTAAGGGTGGAGCTCCAGTTTGTCGAATTTGCTCAATCTTTTCACTCAGTGGGTGCAAGTGTAGGGCGGAAAATATGGTTTGTATTCGTTTTTCAGCCGATTTTATGATTTACCCCACACTTTCATAAACTGTCTACAAGAACCTGTTCTTCGTTGCACGTAAAACCAGGAGAGACAAAAAGTAGTGCATCTTCATTAAATTAACACTTGATTTTGTTCGTGAGGTCATATCTGTAGAATCAAGCCAGTCAGGTGTTTTACGGCTTTGGTAAACAGGAAAATACAATTTGGAGTACGTTGATAATACTTCGATTAATAAGTCTAGGTAAGCCTAAATAAGACCTTACTTTATATTTTTGCTTGGACTTTGAACAAGAACAATGTTCGCAGTCGCAGAAGTTTTATTCTAGGTTTTCTCCAGAATTGTAGTATTTTTAATGACCCTGGATTAGTGATCCACTTAAATACAAATATCCGAGTTCCAGAACTGCTCTCTTTCTGCAAGAGGAAATATAACCAAATGGGCCTCAGGAGAAAGACAAAAAAAAGCATTGTGGGATCCTTGGGTACATTATCATTCCCGACGGTATCCGTTCATCATAATTCATCGGAAATAAGGGAGAAAACTCCTAAAATGTTGCTGGGAATAAAATACACTTAAGTAGAGGAATGAGTGCAGAAACAGGTAAACAGAAATGTAAGCAAGCAAGTAGATTCTGGAATAAAGGATAAAGGATGATTTAGCAGCTGTAATTACCAGCTCAGTTGCAATGAAAACCCCTCAAGGTAATACAGGGTCCTTGTCCTGAGAATGATACAGGCTACAGTAGCTACAGTAGCTGGATTCTCCTGCATTACCAAACAAAGTATTAATCCCTTTAAAAACATACTGCAGGATGTGCCTTTTCATAGTGTGGAAATTTCATTCAGAAATCAGTGTCCTTCCAGTGCTTGAACTAGTGACAGTGGCAGTCTTGGTGACAGAGCTCTAATTTGGTAGCATTAGCTGTGTCATCACAAGCTGGTTTTGTGCTGAATGAAAAAAAAAACAAAAACACAAGCAAAGTTATAATGGATGTGATTTTTAGGTGTAATTATTAATAATTTCTTACACTTATATAGTGCTTTTCTGGACACTCCACTAAAAGCATTTTACAACTATTGGGGACTCCCCTCCACCACCAATGTGCAGCCCCACCTGGATGATGCAACAGCAGCCATAGTGCATCAGAACGCTCACCACACACCAGCTGTAATGGGGAAGAGAACAGAGTGAAGAAACCAGTTCATAGATGGAGATTATTAGGAGGCCATGATTGCTAAAGGCAGATGGGAAATTTGGCCAGGACACCAGGGTAACACCCCTACTCTTTTCAAGAAACTTCCTGGGATTTTTAATAACCACAGAGATTCAGGACCTCAGTTTTATGTCTCATCTGAAGGACAGTGACTTTTTACAGTATGGTGTCCCTGGCATTATACTGGGGCATTAGGACCCACGCAGGCAGCAGGGTGAGCTCCCCCTACTGGATACTCTAACACCTCTTCCAGCAGCAACCTTAGTTTTTCCCAGGAGGTCTCCCATCCAGGTACTGATCAGGCTCACACCTGTTGAGCTTCAGGGGGTGCCAGTTGTGATATACTGTAGCTGCTATCGTAATGAATTCAGTTTTTTTTCTGTGAAGTGTGCATATACCATTTTCTCTTTCACAAAGTGTGCTGTTTCAGCCTTGGTACAGTAACATCTTTGAGAATCTCCAAAAAAGGCCATTGTTTTTTCTTGTGGTTCCAAGGTGCTTTGAAGCAGCAACAAATTCAACCTACAGTATACCTTCAATGATGATGATATAAAATTACACAGACTTTTTGCTTTTTCATTTTGTCATTCTCAAGACTTTGGAGTATGAAAAAATTAAGAGATGTACAAAATATAATTCTTAGTTCTATACTGTAGCATTAATTACATTGAAGTGATTTTAATAATGTCATTTCCTACAACTGGTATCTGACACTGTCTCTTTCTGTATAGTTAGAAAGTTTATTTTTTACACATCTGTTTCTCCTTTCTGTTGCACTTTTCAATGGTTAAATCCATGCTAATAACATCGGAAATGTGAACATGTGAAATGTGAATCCTGGGGAAACTCAGTCCAGCATGTCTGATGAGTCACCATACTGACATTCTCTACTTCACTGATCAAATCAACTGCTTAAGTGGTAAAAATAAAAATTGGTTCAAGTGTTTATAAAGTGAAGGGTGAATTAAAATCCATTCTGGTTTGGTAACCAAACCTTGACCAGGAGTATCCTGTCTATTATATAATAAAATATACCTAGCCTCTAGTATACTATGTAATAAAATATATTCTTTTTCATTTACTTTTTTGTTTTGTATTGTTTGGTGCTCTAAATTCCTTAGATATTACTAATCCTAAATTAAAAATAAATTAAATACTACAGTGACAAGGGTGTTAGATGAAAGGAATTATTTTTACATAACTTTTAATTCATATAGTTCTGTAATACTCTTAGGCTGAGCTACAGTATTTTGCATTAAAAACTAAAGGAGGGTGTGTGCAGGATTTTGGTCACACTGACGAAAGATTATCTGTGGATTAAATGGAAAGGACTGCAAATAGATTGTGTTGTTATGCTGAGCTCTCTGGAAATCTTGCCTTTTAGTCCTGTCACACTCTTTTAAGATCAATTTTAAGCTCTTTTAAGCTTAATCAGATTGCACATTGCACAAAATAGTGAAAGGGGTTACAGTAACACCCATGGACCTATCTTGGCTTGATATGGCCAGCAGCCATGTCACCCTGCAATTTACAATTGGCAACCCTCTGAAGCTAAGCATGAACCTGGTCAGGCGTGAACCTGATCAGTACCTGGATGGGAGAACTCCTGGGAAAAACTAAGGTTGATGCTGGAAGAGGTTAGTGGGGCCAGCAGGGGGTGCTCATGCTACGGTCCAAGTGGGTTCTAATGCCCCAGTATAGTGACGGGGCCACTATACTGTAAGCAGGTGCCGTCCTTCGGATGGGATGTAAAACCAAAGTCCTGACTATCTGTGGTCATTAAAAATCCCAAGGTGTTTCTTGAAAAGAGTAGGGGTGTAACCCTGGTGGCCTGGGCAAATTTCCCATTGGCCTCCTAATAATCCCCATCTATGAATTGGCTTCATTACTCTGCTCTCCTCCCCGCTGATAGCTGATGTGTGGTGAGTGTTTTGGCACACTGTGGCTGCCGTCGCATCATCCAGGTGGATGTAATTATAATAATAAGGGTAAGCAATTATTATTATTATTATTATTATTGGCTTGGCCAGAGGTACCTGCAAAGTGAGTACAGGGAAAGATACAGTTGCACAGTATGTTTCAGAACAAAACTTGATAAGAGCATTTTAAATCCTTGGGGGCACACAGTGATAAGGACACCCACAAAAAACACAGAAGAACACTTGATATCTTTTGGATGGTTATTGCAAAGCTGTGAAAAAGCTCTTACAAAACCAATACAGTATGATAATTGCTGATTGTACGTGTTTTACAGCTTTTTTCAATTTTATATTTCAAGGCATGAAGCCTATCTGCAACTTACTGTATATACAATATATGCAGTACTCCATCAGAATATGTACAATAGCAACAATAAAAAATCATACAAGATAACAGTATATTACAAATGGAGTTTATAACAAAGGTTTGGGAGGGTTGACAATAGCCAAGTTCAATCAGACTCCGCTGTTAGGAATTTGCAATCACTGCTGATGCCATTTCCTCGCCTAAATCATTATCAATACTATATGTTATCCCCTTCTCTCCCTCACATCCATCATTTTGCATCCCTCCTGCCCATCTGCATTTCTGCACCTGCATTTCTGCATGGGGGGTCCCAGCCTCATCAGCCTGTAGCCAGGGGGTCAGCCCTCAGCCAAGTGGATTAAGCCAAATGTTGGACTGAAACACTCCATAATTCTTTCAGTACACTAGCGAAAACTATTAGTATTCTCATTGGCAGCATTTTATGAAACTCGCAGGATAACCTTTGAAAAAGGCTGTGCCTGGCCTCTTTTTATTAAATCATTTTTAAAGGTTAATTAAGTCAACCTCCCACCACTCCCCCACACAAAGAAGTTTCACGCTATTTCACACAAAACCTGCATAACAATATGTCAGAGAGATGTGGTTGATGTCCGTCTTAAGGAGAGTGCACATCCAGTAATGATGTTCTTTTAAAAAACGATTTCTTTTTTCAATATATTTTCCTATTGGAAACCTGTATGAATTCAAAGACGAGAAACAACAAGCTCAACACCTGTAAACAATGTAAATGTAGCTATAGCAAACCAGCACATTTCATTATAGAGGTTGTGTTCATTATGTCTTGCTTTTCTGGAAAACTTTTTTTCCAGAATATCTTGTTATCTTAAAAGTGGTCCTTCCATTTGTTTTTCATAATACATAGAACACAGCTGAGAGGAAAAGACAGCTAAGATTTTCCAAGAAAACACAAGGTTACCAAAAAAGGCATTTTAAAATAAAGAGCCCCAAGAATAAAGAATGCAAAATAACTGTTTTCATGTAACATTTGATAGTTCTGGGGCACATAATGGATATATTTATATACATATATTCACTTTTGCCATCATGTGTATTATACTGTTTAATTTGATACTCATTTTCTTTCTTTAAAGAATAGGACTTAAGAACATGTTAACTGTTAGAACTGTTACCTCTTGGGAACAAGTTAACTTTTAGAACCATGAATTGAAGAAAGTCAAAATGACAAAAAATCATCAAAAATCATCTCACTTCATGCAAGGAAAACAGCCGCAGCAAATCCTTTTGAACGGATTGTTATTTTTATATTTCTTGGCTGCATTGAGCTTGGTTAAGACCTCCCCAATGGCTGAGTCGGTCTTGTGGACACTGGCTTCAATGCTGCTCTGCATGGCGCCCTGTTCCTCTGCCAGCATGGCCACGTCCAAGAACAGCTCATGGACGCTCTTAATTCTCTGCTCCAAGTCCATAAGCTCCTTGTGACGGTTTTCAATCTCGTTGAAGGCAGAACGGGCTGTCTTCCCCTCCACGAGCACGTTATCCGTGAACACGCTCAACTTTCCACTGTCCAGCATTTCTTCAATCTCTTCTCCAGTGACTTCCTTGCCAATGACTTCCAACTGCCTTTGCAAGATGTTTTTGCACTTCTCTTTGTGCGTCATCTCGGCCTCATTGTAATCGAATATAACGTCTCGAAAGGAGTTGCTCAGGGAGGCATACTGGGTCCTGGAGATACGCGCTGTAGCCGAGTTGGCACCATACTTGGCCTCCAGCTCCTTGCTATGAGCTTCCATTTTCTGGAGCTTCGTTAAGACATCTTGTCCCCGGTTCTTGATGTCAGAAGCAATGGCATTGCATTTGTCCAAGGATTCGGTCGACACATTAGTCAGCATTTGGGCATGTTGCTTGTTCAGTTTCATGACGTCCTCCCTGATGAGCTGAATTTCTTTCCGAACATCCTGCACCTCCAAGAGCACTTCGTTCAAGGCCTGCTCAGTGTCAGGTACCTCCTTCTTTTCCTCACTACTGCAGGATTCCTTCGCTTCAGGGGGCTGCTTGACCAGATTCTTCATGTCACCGATTCGGTCTCTCATCTTCCCTGGAACAGAGAGGACAGCTGGTTGGTAGACCCATTTCTTGTAGTAAAAAGGTAAATATTTTCTTAGTTTAGTGACACCTAATGCAGTTGTAACATGTTTTGGTAAAAACTAAGAGGATGTACAACCATAAAATGAACTAAATAAGCCAGATCCCAAGAGAAGCAGGGCACCAGAATGGGACCCAGCTATGCCAATATTTTTGTCGACTGGGTAGAAGAACACTTCTTCGCTTCCTACACTGGCTATGTCCCTGACCTCTACAAACGATATATTGATGACTGCGTCGGTGCCGCCACATGCTCCAACGATCAGCTTGAGTTCTTCTTGCACCATTTCACCAACTTCCACCTGTCCCTCAAATATAGGGTTAACATATCTTCCACTACTCTTCCATTTCTAGACATCAACCTCTCCATCAACTACCCCCGACAGTCCACCTCAGTTTATTACAAACCCACGGATTCACACAGCTACCTCCTGTACAGCTCATTTCACCCCAACCACACTAAAAACTCTCTTCCTTTTTCACAGTTCCTTAGGCTACGACGATTATGTAGCGAAGACATTGACTTTGAAAACCAAGCCCTCAAAATCTACTCCTTTTTCAACAACAGAGGATACCCCAGCAGTATGATTGACAGGGCCCTTGCCCGAGCCAAAAACACCCCCCGGACCATCAATCCGATCAGGAACTCCCACCGTAACAACCGCCTTCCTTTGGTGCTTCCTTACCACCCTAACAAACGTCCTATCCCCAGTACCATTAACCAAAATTTTTACATCCTACAGGATGATCCCTCCATTGGGGCCTCTTTTCTGATCGCCCTATCATCTCATATCCCCGACCACCTAATCTGCGTAACCTCCTTGTTCACAGCTCCCTTGACCGCCCTCAACAACCATCCACACCAGGCACTTTCCCTTGCAACAGAGCTCGCTGCATCACCTGCAAGTACACATCCACCACCACACTCATTCAAGGCCCCTCAGGACAATTCCGGATCACCCAGACAGCATCTTGTACCTCCAGCAACCTTATTTACTGTATCTCTTCCAGTAAATGCCCAGCCATCTACATTGGAGAAACAGGAAGGAGACTCGGAGACCGCTTCAGAGAACACGTCAGAGCTGTGAAGATTAAAGATCTCTCCAAGCCCATTGTTTCTCATTTCACCTCTGACGGCCACGACCACTCTAATCTCTCCGTCTGTGTTCTCAAAGACGGTTTTCCAAACTCATACATCAGGAAGACCACCAAAACCAAAATTATTCTGCAGCTAGGATCACACATTCTCCTTTCTCTTAACGACAGACTACTGTTCTTTTAAATTTTCTCCATTCATTGGAAGTTTCATTTCACACCTCTCTGCACCCATTCTGACTTCACACCTCTTGATTGGCCTCTCTTTCTGTCCCCTGCTCCCGCCTCTCACTCCTCCTCCCTCCCAACCTTTGTTCTCACGCTACTTTACCTTTGCCTACTGCCCTCTCTCACACCTGAAGAAGGCTCCACGGCGGAAATGTTGTGTTCTCTTTCTTCTTTTTTTCAGCATGGAATAACCTATTACTTGTTCCTTTGCAGCCTACGCATGCTGACGCAGCTACCCGCCTGAACTATATTTTTTTAAAAACTATTTCAACACATTTTGTTGTTAATCCTATAGATCAGCCTCATGACATAATGGGCCTCATAAGTGGGATTTATGTGAAGCCAAGATTTAGCTGAAGAGAATAAGCCTCTATTTCACCACTGATAATAAGAGAACAATACTTGAAAAATTAAACCTTTTTTTTACACTTTCATGGATTGTGAATGTAATGGCTTCTCAGAAGGTTTCACTACTTTGATACAATAATCAAGTTATTGGCATGCAAGCCCACGGTGCTTGGTATCTGTATTTCCCCAAAATATCATAACAAAGCATGATTGTTTGATTGCCTGAGCTTATGTGAACCTGGTGCTGCAGAGTTGACTTCAGCAGACCTGAACAGTGGTTGGGTGGTAAAGTTAGTCCATAGTCTGTCCTACCACTGACCATGGCAGCACCTTCAGAAGAGCACATTGTTGTCCTGGACTGGACAACAAACCTAAAAGACAAGTTGATAAATAGCAAACTGAACTGTGTTCTATGTTACTGTTTTATTTGTGCTGTTTTTAGAAGTCTGAGTCATTTCTTGGTTGCTCCGTGAGAGCTGTATTGGGTCTGATAAAGATGTGAGATAATCACTTCTGCCTCTAGGTAAGAGTTAAATTGGCACACATGCAGAGAGGCAGTGTGGAGTAAAGGCTAGGGTTTAGGACTCATGACATGGAACGATATGGGTTCAAATCCTGGCTGGTACAATTATGTTGTGCCCCTGGAAAATGTACTTCACTCATAGCGCTTGATTAAAATTCCCCACTGTATAAATGGGTACCAGTATAAATCACTTTGTATAAAAGGTTGAGTCAAGTAAATAAAGGAATAAATAGGTACAATGTCAGGAATGCAAGCAATCCGATAGAACTGAGAAAGAAATACTGTAGTTCAGATCTGAGAAGATGTGTGGCAAGTGGGAACATGGTATTTCAAACAGACAGTGAGAATGTGAGCTTGAAATAGCAAAATGGTGCTGTAGCGAGAAGAAGCGAAGCAAGAGAAAGATCTTTGACTTTATATTGACTCGTTCCTCATGTAGATGTTCTGGAGAAATGTGACTGATGAGCCTCATAGCCAGTGGTGTGGCCCAGGAGGACAGACTGAGGAATGGACCAACATGGGACTTGTCTTCAGTGGTGATTCTGGTAGCACTGTGTCACCTGACTATCCTCCTAATAGTTCAGGTGGGTAGCTGCGTCAGCATGCGTAGGCTGCAAAGGAACAAGTAATAGGTTTATTCCATGCTGAAAAAAAGAAGAAAGAGAACAACGTTTCGGCCGTGGAGCCTCTTTATTGAAAAAAAGAAGAAAGAGAACAACGTTTCGGCCGTGGAGCCTTCTTCAGGTGAAGAAGGCTTCACGGCCTAAACGTTGTGTTCTCTTTCTTCTTTTTTTCAGAATGGAATAAACCTATTACTTGTTCCTTTGTATCCTCCTTATAGTTGTGTTTGTCTTTTGTGTTCATGTGCCCTCACCTTTCAAGGGCCAGTGCCTCATTTTTTAAAAAAATATTAAGAAAAAAGAACAACTAGTTGTTTGAAAATCTAAATTTCTGGCACCTTTCTGAAACACTGAGGGTACTCATCTATGTTCACAGGAAGCAATGGGGGACAACTCTTTATAAAATGGTATTTACAGTATTTAGAAGTGTAGAATGTGAAACAAGGAAAGAATTGTTAAGCATGTGGACTGTACTCAAACTACACCTGGAAAACTGTGCTTGGTTCTGTTCATCATGCCATAAGAAAAGCATGGTGCCTTAGGTGATAGCCTGTCGTATTTGCACTGATTAAGATTGCTGAATCATTTAAGCTTGGAATAGGCAAAATTGTTCTCTTTGTTCACATAATCAATTTTGAAAAACATTGACAAAGTCAAGCCAGAGGACTGCTTAAAAATCTGGAGACATTTATTTACACCGAGTATCCTGGGAGTGTGGAACAAATGTCTTAGATATCTGTTGAAACTGACAGTGTGGGAAACTTGAAAAACAGCTTGAATTTCTGGATAATTAAGTTACAGTACTAGTAGCCCTGTGTGCAAAGGTGGCGGAACTTCCTCCTCTTGTTTTACCTTCTGTTCTTTCAGCCTCCGAGCTGATTTATTTCAGAAAGTCCCTGTTTACTCTGAATTGCAGCCTACCTGTTTCTTGTGCCTCAATAGAATGATCCCTTCTTTAATGTCACTGAAAGAACATTTTTGTGGCTTCTGTCAAAACTGCTGTTAAAAGGAAAACAAATCTTCATGAACATGAAAACAAGGCACGCTTTATAACACTCCTTGCACTTTGGCTTAAAGTCATCATGACTGAGTTTGGAAACGCAACACTGACCCATCAGGTTTTACCTCATCAACTGCAATATACTGTATTATTTAAAATGAAACCCAGTAATCTGCAAAATATCTCAACCATATTTTGTTCCTGAAAGTACATGAAATCCCTTCAACAAGACACAATTAGCATTCCTTGTACAGTATAGGTGAAAACCTAACCAAGAAATAAAAGCATCCTTCATCATTAATACTAATAACTGCAGTGTTTCAATTTTAAATTAAGGTACACTGTAAGTGCAAAAAAAACCCCAACAACGTATAACTTATTGAACCAGAAACACAAAAGATAGATACTGAATGAATGGATGAATTAGCCAAAATTCTGAAAAATAAAATTGAGAAGCATTTAATTATGCATTTCCTGTCATGGCATTATCAAAGTTATCTTATCTATTTTCCAGTAAAGGTGAGATAAAACAATGCTTAGACCAGCCTCTGTGGCTCTAATGAAATATAGTTCACATAGTAAATTAACCTTTACCGTGATTTCACTGTTTTTGCAAACTTCACTCTCTCATTTCTAAGATAGGATGAAATAAACATTTACAAACGACGACAGTTATCCAACGTGTTTCAGCTAATGTAAGAAAAGACATCACAGGGTCTGAGTGAGATATTAATGTCTCCTGTTTTTCAGCTTCAGAAAGTTGTTTTTACACTATTTGCTTTACCTGTTCTGTGACGTGCAATAAAACAGCACTGCCTTGTAGGCATGTGGCGAGACCAGATTTTAATCAACCAGTTCTAAGCAATCTGAGAAGCATTTAATTAAGTATATACGAAAGTGTTTTACTTAACCAATCATGTTTATGGGACCCTTACTATTGCAGCCTAAAGAACGTGTTTGTGTTCAGGCATCTCCACAACGCAGTCCTCTTTCGATTGGGGGTAGCCAGTAACATAATTTTGAGTCAATGATAAAGTTGTGGAGAATGTGCTTTTCGCGTTAAACTTTAATGTGATATACAGTATATACTTATTACAAAAATCCAGCTTCCTGCATTTTCATACTGGAAAAATAACCATTTTATCAGATACAGAACAAAGTAAAATAATTGTTGTAGAAACATTTGTTTCCCATTTGTGTTAATTAAATGAAAGTTGACTTCAAAATACTTCCCCTGGTGTTATTCAGATACATTTGGATTGATTTATGGACAGATTGCATCAAAAACAATCTTGAACTGGGTCAGATTTCGAGTCTCCGATTAACGTGATGATTTTTTAGACCTTTTTAGACCTTTTTAACACCTTACAAAAATATCTGCCTTATCCAGAGGTAGGGTGTACTACATAGTCCTTATCTTAACATTTCATGCATTGGGCTGTTGGTCTGTGCTCAAAAATCACCATCATTTTAGTATTTATTATTACATAACTGTTATCTTATTAAACGAAGGGTTTGCACCCCTTTAAGGAGCTGTAAAAACATCCAAAGATGATCGCAATAAGATACACAAATAATAAGTTATTTGTAAAGCTTTTCAGCTTAGGTTTTCTTCGTTCCTGACAGACGTAAATTTGAATGGCATGTAATAAAAATACATACGGACACGGAGAAAACTTGCAAACTCGAATCCAGGACCCGTAAAGCAACAATAACAGACAAGAAACCGTGCAGAACCAGAAACTCCTGTAATGGATTACACTACTTCATGACACCATCAGAACAGCAGTGTACAGTATATCAACGTAAAACCAATCATCGAAGGCTACTGATACAGGAATTAAAAAGCAAATGGTCTACCGCTATTCTTTTCAGTAAAGGAGTTCTTTTTTAAAAAGACCACAAGTAAAAAATGAAGCAGGCCTGTGGAGTTTTTACCATACTTATATTATCTAAACATGCATCCCTATTTTATATTATATTGTAAATCTACGTGTATTTACAACACGATCACGTTTTTCAACTAGCCGATACGGTCTTGGTGCACACTGTAGAATTAAAAAAAAATGTATTGTTTATAAATGAAGAGTACATGCAGAAGTGCACATAACTCACAAAGGTAAAATAACAAACCTCTTAACACTTAAACTAATTTAGCTAAATTCCAATAACAGGATTTCAATTAGGTTTCAGGGACCCCGATAGAAATGATTTCACGTTACCTAATTTAACGCAGGTACAATCATATCTAATAATATAACTAATCTAGGTCTGTGAAAGACAGCCCTCTATCTTCTTCGCAGCAAAGGCTCGTTGTTTCACGGACTGCAAAATAAGAATGATACCTTAATTCAAGTGCCGCAATTTAATCAACAGCTTTTCTTCGAAACGAAGTAACGTGAGGGCGGCTGCTGTGACATCTTCTGCAGGGAGTAACTACCTGTGAGCTGTGCGTGTCCCGCGGTATAAGTCAATGCTACTGTGCTCCTCGGTGGGTGCGGAGAAGAGCTGTTTTTAGATGTGCTTTGTCGCCAAAGTCTCTAGGACTGAGATGTCAGATAACATCCTTCAGGTGAAGTTGTTCTAGAATGAGACTGGATTGGTTATGTAGCCACTCCCAGATGAAAGACGCACAAGGTGTACATCACGTCTTTGGGTGTCTGCGCACCTAAGAGTTAACTAATTGCTTTGGAATGTTTTGCATTATCGCAATGGTACTTTTACTAGGTCAGGCCCTTGTGTTTTATTGACTTTTGAGTCTGGCGTATACCACGACAAACAGCTTAAATGTTTTCTTTCTTTATTAACTATAATGGCGAAGCTGACGATAAAAATCTTGAAATTAACAACAATTACTTTGAAATTTCTTTCTCTTGTAAAGGGTTATAAACCAAATGCTCAGTTTCTGTGTGTCTATGGTTTCTCCTTGGTTCTGCGAGCTAATAATCGTGGATTTAAAACACATTTTTAAATTATCTTTCAAACATTAATTCAATGTGTTATACAACGGCTCAGACGTATGCATTATGGCAACACCTGCAAGACCTACTGTACAGTACTTTGAGGATCTTGTTAAGTGATTCAGGTCTTTAACTTTGCTTCCAAAGTACAAATATTTACCAGTTTAGAAAGTAATGTCCAGCTTGACATACAGTACTGAATTTTTCTGCTCCAGTGATTATTGCTGCACACAAGAATTCCCTGTAAAAGATAAGAAGGGAATAAATTCAACTTAGATGTCAATACACCTCCCTATCACAGACGACATCAAGACAGGACTACTTGTCTTAACCACTAACCCAATTTGCAACATCTTTGTGAACCAATGCTATGAATGATATTTAATGCTCTTCAAAAATATTGGGACAGCAAAATCAAACTTTTTGCTTTGCAGTCATATGGTACTGTATTTGTGATCAAGTTTAATATGGATAATAAGTACAATCATTCTTTTGTATTTGTACAATTCCATACATATATTTCTTCATCCGTGCATCCCTTTTCTAACTGATCGATCCAATACAGGATCACAGGGGAGCATTTGTTAGCAAGCAAAGGACACAACAAGGCAGATACATCCTGGAATCAAAGCCTGTCCATCATAGGGCACACACACACTCACACCTGGGGCTAATCTTCCCAGAAGCCAGATACACACCAGTAAGTCATTGGACAGTGGGAGGAAATTAGAGCACTTTGAGGAAACCCACATAAACATGGGGAGACATAGAAACTCCATACAGTTGGCACACCCAGGAGCTGAACTCAGGGCTCCAGGACTGCAAGGCAGCAATACAAACCACTGCCGTGCTGCCCACATCTGATCACATTAGAAGCAAATGTACTTTGTGACCAACACAATGATTACAAGTGATAAGTGTTGGGACACATTCACTTTAAGTCAATTTCACAGTGTAAAGGCCAGAGGCATAAGCGTTTGAGGCCAGAACTGAATGAAATCAACAGCCATTTACGCTGACCAAAACCTTTTATGTAATCATTGTGGGATGCTATGCCGCAGTCACTGTTGGCTGATTTTGTTATCACAATGCTTTTTGTGGTCACAGGTTGTATTATAAGAGACTGTTATCTGAATTGTTTTGCAATGCTGTTTTGGTCAAAAGCTCCTCCTCTACATTTGAAATGTGAAATATATTCTAGAATTTACAGTATGTTCACTATATTTTGCTATTTCATTTAAACGATTTTTTATATTTCTTAGAATATTTGTGCTTTGTGATATATTTGACGGGTAGCACGGTGGTGCAGCATCGCTGCCTCCCAGCGCGGGGGCTCTGAGATTAATTCCTGGAGTACTGTCTGTGTGGAGTCTGCATGCTGTCTTTGTGTTTGCATGGCTTTCCTCCAGGTGCTTCAAGTTTGCCGATTTTAGATCTGATTTGATGGCATTGAACATGAAAGCTGAGGAAAGCATAGCTGTCTTTAGTTTCCTTTCCTTAAGAAGACATTTATGTTCAACATGTGTGCATACTGTACCAGCATCTCAAAACACATCATTATTCACAATTGAAAGTGATGTGAAATGTATTAATTTTATTACAATGGTTTTACAGGTTCCCAGTCTATAAAGTACATGTGAAGTTGTGTATACTGTAATATTAAAAACATACACTCTATCCAGAGCTGTTTAAACCCCCAGCTGAGTGATGTGTTTCTGCCTTGAAGCTGCAAGAATAGTGGCAGAAAGATGTGGTGTGTTTTCCACAAGGTGAAGGTTGAAATATTTGCCACTCAATTCCATTCTGTTCTTCTTGCAGAATGTCTGTCAGCTGAGTTTGTGTGAGGGCAGTACTGTGTGGAAGGGAACTGCACATTTTCACTGGTTCCACCAGTTTTCAAAAGGACTGATACATTCTCTGCACCTGAGAGAGTCAATTCATTTGTTTGGAGGTTCCCAATCAGATAGCTTAAATATATATATAAGAAATAGCAACATAGTTAAATCCCTCAAAGAGTAATATGTTCAGATATTATTAGGAAATCTTCAGGAAAGAATATGTATTCAGGGGGAGACCATTGCTTTGGGAAACTTTATTTTTCCTTGTATATTTTGGCAAAATTAGCCAATGAAAGCTGGAAAAAGTACAACCATTGAATGGCTGATTTCCTCCCCACATGTAAAGACACCCACAAGGCAACCGGTCTGCATGAACCAAGTCTTGAAACCCTTAGGGCAGGGTGAAGGAAGAACCATGTGACTACAACCTGATGTGTTGGAGGTGTATCTTCACACCCTGCAGAAAGAGTCTAATGCCAAGGTTGTCAATTGAATGTAAAGACAATGATGGATGGGATTGAGCAGAATCCATGGATCATCACCAAGCCACACATTCACAGGATCCGCTGTCTATCCCAGCAGCACAGGACACATGGCAGCACAGCAGCACCTCACAGGGCACACGTGCACACATGCAGATTCACAGCAAAAGACCTATAGTGTCCAACATGTCTTTGGTATCTAGACAGCTAAACATACTTAATGTACAGAATTATAATTATGAGAAATTCATAAGAAAACTAAACTGTTATGGTAACAAAAATATCACTTTTATGAATATGGCACTATATAATACCACTACATTAACAGATGTATGTATTCCATTTTGCAGACCGCAAAAATGAATAATATGATATTGCAGGGAAATATAACTTGGTATTTTATATTATTTCACTGAATTTTGTAAGATTCAAATATTTTTGCATAAGCGATGTAATGAAAACTGATTAATGTCTTCATTTAGAACAATACTAGGTTTTACATCTCAGTCATATTTAAAAACTATTTAAAAATATTTTCTTGTTAATTCTACAGAATTAAGCCTAATGATTCACCTGAAGAGAATAAGACTTTCTTCCTCCTTGATAAATACAAGAGCTGTACTTTAAAAAATAACTAGTATTTTACTGTTCTGTGGATTATGAATGTCTTATACAAACATTTGTCTTTTAAAAAGGGGTCACTACTCTGATACAATAATCAAGTTATTTGCAAATCCACTGTGCTGTACAGAAAGTGTCTGTATTTCCCCAATATATCATAACAAAGTATCTTTGTTTGACTGCCTGAGCTTATGTGAACCTGGTACTGCAGAGATGACTTCAGCAGACCTGAACACTGGCTGGATGGCAAAGTCAGTCCATAGTCTGTCCTACCACTGACCTTGGCAGCCCCTTCAGGAGAGCACATTGTTGTCCTGGATTGGACAACAAACCTACAGTAGTTTGATAAATAGCAAACTGAACTGTGTTCTATGTTACTGTTTCAAACGATAAAAGTACACAGTAACTTGTAAAACCACCAGTTTACATCACAAAATAGACACATTTCCAGCCATGCGCCAATTTCTGTGATTCAGAACGTGGCAACATAACTTTCAGCGACGAGAAGTAGTCCTATTGCATTGTAAACAAGCAGGCTTGTGAATACATCTCTTTTAATCCAATTGAAATATTGCTCTCGATTTCGGGACGGTGTTGCCGATAAATGGAACTTGTTAACTCTGCGTGCAGATCACTTTGGAAACTTTCTGCGGTGAAATGTCTGCTGTATAACCTGCACTTAATTTGCTTGTACTGTACATCACATTACATTAGTCATCACAGTGACTAGTGAGCAGGAAGGGTCAGCATCATGTCACAATTCCTGGGAACTCTCCCTCTCGCCAGTGATGAGACCAGGGGTTTGCAATAAAATGGCAACTTACAGTACTTTCATAAAGTTTACAATTTTGTGCTTAATTGGAAATTTGTACACTTTTTCTATCACTTCAATTAATCTATTTTGTTACTGAGATTTTAATAACTGGTCTGAGAAATTGGGACTGCAGGTCTCCTTTAACTAGCAAACTAAACTGTGTTCTATGTTACTGTTTCATTTGTTCTGTTTTTAGCAGTCTGAGTCATTTCTTTGGTTGGTCTTTGAGGTCTGTATTGGGTCTGATAAAGATGTGAGATAATCACTTCTGCCTTTAGGTAAGAGTTAAATTGACACACTTGCAGAGGGGCAATGTGGAGTAACGGCTAGGGTTTAGGACTCATGACATGGAAGGATATGGTTGGCACAATTCTGTTGTGCCCCTGGACAATGTACTTCACTCATAGTTCTTGAGTAAAATTCCCCACTGTATAAATGGGTACCAGTATAACTCACTTTGAATAAAAGCTTGGGTCGAATACATTTATAGGAATAAAGTACAGTAGGTACAGTAGGTCAGGAATGCAAGCAATCTGATAGGACTGAGAAAGATATACAGTAGTTCTGATCTGAGCAGATGTGTGGCAAGTGGGAACATGGTATTTCAAACAGACAGTGAGAATGTGAGCTTGAAATAGCAAAATGATGCTGTAGCGAGAAGAAGCGAAGCAAGAGAAAGATCTTTGAGATTATATTGACTCATCACGTTCCTCATGTAGACGTTCTGGAGAACTGTGACTGATGAGCCTCACAGCCTGTGACTTGGCTCAGGAAGACAATTTTGAAAAGCATTGACAAAGTCAATCCAGAGAGCTGCTTCCAAACCAAGAAACATTTATTTATGCAGATGATCTTAG